CATCATAGCTCACTGCAACTTCAAACTCCTGCGCTCAAGCAATCCTCCTGCCTCAGCCTCCCAAGTAGCTGGGACTACAGGTGCTTGCCACTATGCTGGGCTAATTTTTTCTACATTTTAGTAGAGATGGGGTCTCACTTTGCTCTGGCTGGTCTTGAACTCCTGAGCTCAACAATCCTCCCACCTTGGCCTCCCAGAGGGTTAGGATTACAGGCATGAGCCACCAAGTCCGGCTGGTGAACGATATTTTAAAATGTTCTGTTGAATTTGGTTTGCTAGTATCTTGTTGAGGATTTTTGCATTTATCTTCATCAGTGATATTGGCCTTACTTTTCTTTTTTTGTTGTGTCTTTGATTTTAGAATCAGAGTAATGCTCACTCTGTGGAATGAGTTTGGCAGTATTCCCTTCTCTTCAATTCTTTTGAAAGAATTTGAGAAGAGTTGGTATTAGTTCTTCTTTAAATGTTTAATAGAATTTTGCAGTGAAGCCATCAGGTCCTGGAGTTTTCTGTGATGGCAGCCTTTTTTTTTTAGATAGTCTTGCTCCATTGCCCCAGGTAGAGTGCAGTGGCATCATCATAGCTCACTGCAACCTCAAGCTCCTGGGCTCGAGCAATCCTCCTGCCTCAGCCTCCTAAGTAGCTGGGACTATAGGCGCATTCCACCACATGGCTAATTTTTCTATTTTTAGTAGAGATGGGGTCTCGGTCTTGCCCAGGCTGGTCTCAAACTTGTGACCTAAAGCAATCCTCCCACCTCAGCCTCCCAATGTGGTGGGATTATGGGTACAAGCCACACCTCACAAAGGTGAGTTTTTTGTAGCTAGTATATAGCTGGGTTCCCCCCTTTTTCTTTCCCTATTAATAAATCCATTTAACCACTCTATGTGTTTTAATTGGAGAACCTAATCCATTTATATTCAGGTTGTTATTGATAGGGAAGGGTTTACTACTGCCATTGTGTTACTTGTTTTATGGTTGTTTTGTAGATGCTTTCTATTTTTTTTTCCCTGTCTTATTGTTTTCCTTTGTGGTTAAATAATTTTCTCTAGTAGTATGTTTTGATTTTGTGCTATTTATTTTCAGGGTATATTATAGTTACAATGAGGCTTACATGTAATATCTTATAGTTATAGTAGGTTATTTTAAAGTGATAACAATTTAACTTTGATCGCAAAGAAAAAAGATAATAAAAACAAACACTACACTTTAACACCACCCCCTTCATATTTTGACCTTTTGATGTTTCAATTTTAATTTCTTTATGTTGCCTTCTAACCAATTGTTTTAGCTGTTATTGTCTTTAATAGTTTTTAGTCTTCATACATAAGATATAAGTGGTTTATATGCCACAATTACAGTATTATTCTAAATTTGTATTCTTACTTTTATCTGTGAGTTTGATACTTTACATTTTTTTTTTTGTTACATGTTAGCACCCTTCTCTTTCAGATTGAAGGACTACCTTTAGTATTTCTTGTAAAACAGGTCCGGTGTTGATGAATTCCCTCAGCTTTTGTCTGTCTGCAAAAGTCTGTCCTTCGTGTTTGAAAGATAGCTTTGCTGGGACCAGTATTCTTGGCTGACAGTTTTTTTCCCCACAGCACTTTGAATATATCATCCCACTCTCTCCTGGTCTTCAGGGTTTCTGCTGAGAAATCCACTGCAAAATGTATTGAGGCTCTGTTGAATGTGATGTTTCTTTTCCCCTGCTGCTTTGAGTATTCTTTCTTTGTCTTTGATTTTTGATAATTCGATTATGATGTGGCTGGGGAATTCCTCTTTCTGTGGAATTTGATTGGTGACCTCTGAGCTTCCTGTACCTGAATGCTGTCATCTTGATCCAGATTTGGGAAATTTTCAGCCATTATTTCTTTAAGTATACTTTCTAGGCCTTTTTCTCTCTCATTTCCTTTGGAAACTCTTATTATATGTGGAGATTAGTTTGCTTGATGGTGTTTCATAATTCTCATCGATCTTATTCACACTTTTCCTTTGTTTTTGTTTTTGTGATTGGGTAAATCCATATGTTCTGTCTTTAAGATTGCTGATTTTTTCCTTAGTTTGACAAAGTATTCTGTTGAAGCTTTCTAATGAGTTTTTCAGTTCAATTATTGTATTATTTATTTCTAGGATTTCTATATACATTTTTAATTGTTTCTATTTCTTTGTCATATATCTCATTTTTTTCCTTGTTTGTTTTCCAAATTTCATTTAATTTTCTATCTGTATTTTCTTATGACTCCCTGAACTTCTTTAACACATTGACTGCCACACTAGAAAAAAAAAATTTTTCCTTGGGGCCGTGGTGTTTTATTATGAAAATAGAATAAAAACTTTGAAAACAAAATGATCCTTTCTAATTTAATGAAAAACAAAATTTATTGACTTCTATTCATTTAATCCACATTTTTAGAATTGACTTGTCAATATTTATTGTAATGATAAGAATATCAACAAGTAAGATTTTCATGAACCAACTACAGCTTCCAGCTTTTTCAGGTGTTCTTTTGTGGTGTTAGACCTTTACTACTTAATATTGGAACTTTTTTTTTTTTTTAGACAGAGTTTCACTCTGTTGCCCAGGCTAGAGTGCCATGGCGTCAGCCTAGCTCGCAGCAACCTTGAACTCTTGGGCTCAAGCAATCCTACTGCCTCAGCCTCCTGAGTAGCTGGGACTGCAGGCGTGCACCACCATGCCTGGCTAATTTGTTCTATATATTTTTAGTTGTCCAGCTAATTTCTTTCTATTTTTTTTAGTAGAGACAGGGTCTTACTCTTGCTCAGGCTGGTCTTGAACTCCTGAGCTCAAATGATCCTCCTGCCTCAGCCTCCCAGAGTGCTAGGATTACAGGCGTGAGCCACCGCACCCAGCCAATATTGGAACTTAATCACTGGCCTGCTGTTGCTTCTCAGTCTGGGGAAGATTTATAATGAGCACCAGAATTTAAATGCTGCACCAGAATTACATTACTGCCTGCTATCGTGTCTCAGTGTGGGGAAGATGTAACTGAGCACTAGAACTTAATCATTGACCTTTTAGTTGTTTCCAGGTCAGAGAAAGGCTCCATGTCAGCACCTGGGCTTTGTGGAAAATCTGACCAGAGATTCAAACTTTTCTGTGGATTATGTCCCCAGCAGTACTATGGTACCAGCCAGTCTCCTCACCATGGCATTCCTGCTGATTAGAGCACAAAACAGCTGCTAAGATCTGCACCCAAGTTGTTGCAATCAACGTCTCCATTGTTTGTCCCCAATTCACCCTAGGTATGTGAGCCCTACTGGAACTCCCAAGGGTTCCCATGAGATGGGTCCAGAGTCGGCTTCTCATGAAGATTCTCAGACTTGTGGGGAGGTCAAAAGTCCATCTCCAGTTCTCCCCTTCTACCTCAGAAACCATGGCTCCGCATGTGGTATTTTGCTGGCTCAGGGGAGACAGTGACATAGTCTAAAATGACTGCTTCTCTTGATTCTGTGGGCCCAGGGGGTTCTCTACTTCTCTACCAAATTCTGGTAAATTCAGGGTGGTATTCTTGTCTTTGAATGATTTCTAGTTGTGCTTTTTTGAGGGGAGTGATGCCAAGGGATCTTCTATTCTACCATCTTGCTGATGTCCTTTGCCATCTGTTTTTGTAAGTAATTTTCTTTTGGAACACAGCACACCCATTTGCTTACAATTGGCTATGGTGGCTTTTGCGCTACAATATCAGAGATCAGTGGTTACAGAGGAGACAGTCTGGCCAACAAAGCCTAAAATATTTACTATCTGGCCCTTTGCAGAAAAATTTTGTCAATCCTGTGTTAAAAGGACAAACTAAGGTATTTATAGGTGAAAGATGTGATATTTGGAATTTTCTTTTAAAATAATCTGGCAGAACAAAGTTGGCGGAAGATAGATGAAACAAGACTGGAAAAAAATTGATAGTTCTTGAAACTTACGATGAATATATGAGGATTCATTAATGATTCCCTCTATTTCTGTGTACATTTGGAAAATTCTATAATCAATTGTTAAAAGAAATTATCTTACGTATACTTAGCACACGTGGAGGTCTTAGGTTTGAAAATTATTGGTTCTGACTTATAAAGCATATAGAGAGGCCAGGTGCAGTGGCTCATGCCTATAATTCCAGCACTTTGGGAGGCCAAGACAGGAGGATTGCTTGAGGCCAGAAGTTAGAGACCATCTAAGCAACATAGTGAGACCCCATGTCTACCCAAAATAGAAAAAATTAGCTGAATGTGGTGGTGTGTGCCTGTAGGCCCAGCTACTCGGGAGGCTGAATCAGGAGAATTGCTTGAGCCCAGGAGTCTGAGGTTGCTGTGAGCTACAATGATGCCACTGCACTCTAACCTGAGCAACACAGTGAGACCCTGTCTCAAAAAAAAAACACAAACAAACAAAACGCAAAACAAAAACAAAACAGGTAGGGAGAGAGATAAAATGGAAGATAGAGATTATCTGTTGAGAATCTATGCTACTGACAGCGTACTATGTGCTTAACGAGTTTCTTTTACAAAAAAAATCTTTATGACAACTTCTGAAGATGGATATTATGAATCGTAATTTACTGATGAAAGATCAGGAGCTTAGGGACATTGATTGCAGCTAGAAAAGAGCAGTACCGGAATTTGACCCTTGCCAGAGTCCCATTCTTAGGTCATTATCATTATTGGTATCACATGTTCACATTACTAAGTGTGACAAGCCAAGGGAACACCTCTATTTAAAGGTCAAAAATTCCCTCAGATAGGGCAGGTGATACTAACCTTCAGGGTTCTTACCCCTGAACAACCACACGAGCTTTGCCATGCTTCAGTGCAGGTAATTTAGTCCGTTTTTCAGCAAGTACAAGATGATGACTCATCTGTTCCAGGAAAATGGACAGAATAAGTAGAAGCACACAGACTCAGGAAACTTTTACTTTTATTTGTGCTTAATATATAGCATATTTTCTACAAAAAATTATGAGTTAAGTATATTTTAATGGAGATAAGATATCTTAACATGGATATAGAAGAGCAAAGAGCCAATAAACAAAACAAAACAAAAACAAAATAAATGAAATAAGAACAAAATCTCCCCAAGTTCTAGATAGGCTATTCATTTCTTTTCTTTTCCAGGTGGAAGTTCCCCAGAACAACTATTGGGCTAAGGCTCAGAGTCGAAGGCAGTTATTTCACTGAGAACACATATCTGATTCATGGAAGAAAGTCTATGTTCCAGATAGGGCAGCCAAGGCTAAGTACTTTCCTGTTTCACTGAGGTCTCAGGAAAATGCAGGCTTTCAAGACACTTGAGGTCACTGCCTAAGTGCAGCTGTGTTTAATTTGCGTGAGTCCTTACACCTCATTTAGGTTTAAAGATAGGTACTGTCCTTGTCTGTGATATCCAGCTGCAAGTATTCCAGACTGCCTTTTTTGTAGCTGGCTACCCGTCGTGGTTTTTGCCTTCTTATCCCTGCAGCCTGTCTTTTCTGTAAGGAGTTGGCAATCATGTCTGAGAATTCCGCTTGCAAGCGCTGTTGATTCTCCCTGGAAATAAGGTGGGGAGAGAAAATAGAACTTCTCACAGCCATTCATACAGAATATTCCTTAGCTCCAGAATAATCCGTTCAGTTACTCATTACTCATTGAATACCTATTCTGTGCTAGACACATGAAGTCCAAAGAATACAAAATGATCCTTGCCTTTGATGAGCTCAAAGAACTGTCATTCCTTCTATGTGTTGTTGTAGAATAAGCAGAATATATTTCAAGCAGGAAATTAGACTTCAATTTCAAAGTGAAACAGCATGCTGTTAGAATTCAGAGGCATGGTTAGGAGGGTGTAGGTTTGCATATGCCACTGTAGGAAGGGGAAAAAAGCCAAGAGGATGCTATGTGTCTGCTGCAAACCCTGAAAACTCATTAGCCCCACACATAACTAAGAGTGCGGATCTTGTTTGCGGAGGGCTCAGAATGGTGGAGGGTTTAGAGAGTTTAGCATGGATTTGGGGTACTCCCAGTAAGGAGCCAGTTTCCCAGGCCCCAGGGAAGATCTGGGTTGTTTTGACTTCTCTAAAAGTTTGCCATCTGTCTGGACCTGGCATCTACGTCTCTCCGAGACAGGGTTTCTCAACCATAGCAAAAACCATGACAACAGCCACGTGACTGATTGCCACAGCATCTACTGCTATGTTACTGGACGGCAACTTGACTCACCTTTGGGAGAACTGAAACCTGTCAGTTAGAACTGAAACTGTGTCTTCCTCATCTCAGAGAGCACACAGACTCCATGTGAAGACCCAGAACTAGTCTTGGGGCTGGGGAGTTCCTGTTTTCGGCAGGTGGCTAAGTGGAAAGATGAGGACAGGAGTGGAAATGCAGGGAGCCTCTTTGCCTCCAGTATGCTCCACTCTTGGGAGAACCAGACATGCAAGAGGTGAGCTCTAAAGTGTCTTCTGTTCTCCTGAGCAAGCCTACGATGCAATGATAGCTTTGCTGTGCTTCAGTGTGGGGGAATTTAGTCAGGTTTTAAATAAGCACAAGATGATGACTGGCGCATTCCAGGAAAATGGGTAGAATCGGTAGAAGCACATTCACAGACTCAGGAAATTTTCTATTCTTGCCTAATAAATGGCATATTTTCTTTAAAAAATTATGAGTTAAGTATACATGCACGGACTTAAGGTATTTAAAAGAAAATTGTGACAGCTAAAAAAATTCTGACATGAATACAGAAGAAAAAAGAGCCAGTAAACAAAGCAAAACAAGAA